TATTGCCGATACTAAATTGGAAAAAAATTAATTTTATTTTGTAATATTTATTATTTTATTTTATATTTTATAGGAGTCAATATACTATCTTTTGTAAGAGTTAACATTGTCATTTGTAGGAGTTTACCATTCCCTAGGCCCTACCAAGTAGGTATACAGGTGATCAATTTTACGTAAATAAGACATTAGTTATTTCAAAAAGTATTAGACTAGTTTTTGAAGAAATACATTTTACATGGTTTCTAGCCGTTAAAAAATCATATTTTTTTATCCTTATAATCTTTTAAGTTTTTACTTTTTTGAATGATAACATACTGTTTTTATTTCTTATTTCAAAGCAGAATATTTTTCTTAGTACTTTGGTGCATAAAAATCAAAATTAGGACAAATAATTCCTAAATTATAATAAGTATTTAAAGTTTAGATGAGTTTGTACCAGCATTTGGCGGAGTAACCGCTCAACTTAATTTTGATTTTAATGTATTAAAATGGTAAGAAAAATATTTTGATTTGGAATATGAAATATGTTGTATGTTGTCATTAAAAAAACTTAAAAAACATAATTTAAAAAAAAAAAATGTTTTGTTGGAACTATTTGACACCATGTAAAAGTATATTTTAAAAAATGTTACTATTTTTTAGAAATAATGAGTCAAAAGTCAAATGGATCGCCCGGTACTATATAATAAAATCGTAAATCATGATATTCACCTGCCAATACCAAATCGGTGTAATGGAGATCCAATAGAAAATCGTTGTTCATTTGTCCGTGTTCTTTCAACTTAGAATTCAATTCATCGCGCATTTTTTCCTGGATTTGTTGATTCAGCGCTAACTCATACAAACAAAAACTCAACGTGGAAGACACGGTTTCAAAACCGGCGAAAAACATCAAGACCGCATTTGACACAATGTCCTGCTCAGTAAATACCTCTGCAAAATAATATACATATCGAAACACCGTGAGTTTTATAATATGTGCAAGTGACACGGCCCGTAATTATACTCATTTTATCTGGCACTGTGGTAAATAATATTATCAACAAATATTGAATCTCTTTTTTACCATAGACATTATTATATAACTTTTATAGATATTTGGAATCATCGATTATTTCAGTTTTTATTTTAAAAATATCGATAAAAATGTTTTCACTACCAAAAGCAATAATCATATTATGGAGTAAGGTCGGGTCACGTGCCAAGCAACACATAAATCATTTTGAATAAAAGTTAATTTATCTATATTTTCGTGTAATATGATAAAACCGCCAAATAATCTGTAGCATAAATATATAATATTGGTATTAATCTTACTTTCATCCGTGGAGCCCAACACCAAGTCTCTTCTCGCTTCTATCAAGCTCTGCGCCACGTCATGTCTGACTATGCCGTTCTCCTCCCTGTACCTGATGACTTCGTTTATCGCCGACTCGTAAAACTCAGAAGCTGAGGGTGGAAACTCGGCAATTCCCAATAGTTTTGTCAATCTCATTGAGATCATTGACAATATCAGTGAGAAAATAAGCCTATAGTTATTTTGGAGCAGTTCTCTTCCATACTTACGAAAATCCGAATCTTCGTTCTTCACTGTGTCCAATTTCAAACCAAAAGCGCACGTCCCAATGACGTCTGTCGAGTACTTGCCCATGGTCTCCTTGACTTCGATCTGATCGTTTTCCTTCATTTTGTTTGTGATGAAACGCATCAGCTCGTCACTGCACGCCGCTATCTGGCCATGGGTCAGTTTCAGCTTGCCTGACGAGAACCCCGGGCTCAGTTTCTGTCTCATCGTTTTCCACTTGGGACCGCACAAGAAGAACAGCCCGTTTGCTAGTATGTTCGTCGACGGATCCTTGTGGATACCACGATCAGCGAAGTGCGAGAAATCTTTAATCAGTATGTGGTTGATGAGCTCGGGGTCACGAATCATCAGGAACGGCGTCTTCATCTGATAGAAACCACAATATCTTTCGCCGGCAAACCGTTTGTAAATTTTGTCGAATGTGACCACGCGCCTGTTCGCGCCCCGTCAACATTCTGAACACGTTGCCGACCAATGGCCACGGCGGATCGTGGGCCACGTTCAGTTTACGCCATTTTCCGTACGTGCTGGTCGAAAAATGGTAAAGGATCGCCAATACCGCAATGGCGACACCGATGACCGTTGGAGAAGCAAATAGACAACTCATAACATCACTCAAAATCATTATGACGATAGTAATAATATTATGCTGATGAAAGATTATTATTATGTTTGAAGCCGAAATCACTGCAATTGCGGTCAAAGTGTGCACACGTCTAGAGCTCTATCGTACTACTATTAGTAAAAGTGTTGTGAAGCGACTCGATCATCTGCAGTTATATAGGTATACATATTATCGCGGTTGTAGTTGTTTCGAGGTCAACTTGATTTATATTTTTTAACTGCGTTTATGACGAGTCTAATTTTGGAAGTGAGTCAGTTCAAAATTATACATTATGTATAATAACTGACAACTGACCTCGAATGGCGAGTCAGTATAAACTATAAGCCATAAGGTATATAATGATAATTTATTTAACCATTCACCCAACTACTCGGCTATACTCGATGTTTTTTTAGAAACACATCTTATAATACTATATGGCCCAAACTATTATTAACTTGCTCAGATATCACCTCGATTATATTTTATACACCTACTTACTGCAGCAGTACTCCATTTCAAGTATAATAATACTAGTGTTCGTTATAGGTACAATATGTTCTATCTACAGTCATTATTTCTCCATTAACTATGAAAACTTCTACGATTTAAATTGTAAATAATATATTGTTATTACTTTTTACCAGACTTGATAAACTATATCATGATTTAACTGTAATAAAATTCAAGTTAATATAGTTTACTAAGTATTTATTAATTTTTTTCTTTTTAAATGTTTATATGACTTATATACTAGCTAAATACACGAAGAATCAAATCCTTGGTCTCCACTCCCATCGACCTTGGACCTCAGTCTTTGTGTAACATGTATTTTTGACTACACAGCTAATTTGAAATCAACCAATTTTCAAGCTTGAAAAATAATTTTTAGTACGCAATAGTTAACCGCGCCTACTGGGTAATGTTTAAGATTTTGTCCTGAATTAATACTGTAGTAGGAACTTAATTATAATACTCTACCTACATTTTTCACATGTAAATTGTTCTATATAATTTAAATGGCGTTACTAATTTTCAATGTTTGTGTTTTTATTCAGGTTAAAGCATTTATAATTATAATAGATTTTCACAACGAAATTAAATTTTCACTATTTTTCAATAATATAAATTTATAACAAACAAAATATAATGATACTTTTATTCACCAAATAAGTATACTTGTTCGAAAGAAGAATTTAATTTCCCCGAGTATGTAGTAGGGTAATTATAAATTAATTCATTTTCAAGAGTACTTTGATTGATATATCTATGCTTATTTTGACGACATTCATTTAGAAACCAATCATAAAAATAGCGTGCTGAATATATTGCTGACCAACTATGAGGGTCATTTCTTTCCCATTCATAAGCATTTTTTTCCGGATGGAATTGTAATCCCACAAATGGATAATTTTTAGCTTCTACTGTGGATATGAATGTCAAATTATTTTCATCTTTATTTATTGTTATAGGATTCCAAAAGTCATCCAACTTCATTGACGTAAAGTTCTTTTGTGTTACACAATGACTGTAAAAAACAATACAAATTAGTGTGAAAACTCCTATAATGTTCTCCGTAAAATTGATTGAGTAAATAATTTGATAAAATCATTAACAATGATTTATGATGTTCCATAATATGACTCAAAATCTAATGGAAAATGTCGAAGTCTTAAGAAATCTTTTTAAAACTTTGTTTTGTTGTCTTCACCGAAGTAATTAAAAGTTATTATAGCGGAGTAACCCTCTCAGTAAAACACCTGCAGATGGCGGAATGCCGAGCAAATGAAGATAAACTAAATATACCAACGAACTTATATGAAACAATCGGACCCGACTGTCAACCAGAAAAAGTCATGTCCACAGGACCACCGAAATAGAGAAATACATTTAAGTAATAGACTAATAGAATATAGTCAATATAGTCATAAGCCACAAAGTCCCCCCTATATTATTGTAACCAAATTGTCACCCAAAACGTGTATTAGCATAATTATTAATGTAAGTATGAAGCTAATGGCCCATGTCGCCAATGCTACAAAAAGATCGAGAAAAAAAGAAGAAAAAATCATTAAGGAACAATATAATTGTAATACCTAGTTAATTTATAATTTATACATCGTATAATCACAATCATATTAGTTGTTATAAAAAATGTATAGAATATTTAAAATTTTAAATACGTGTCATTATTCTATCATATCATTGCGAGTTATCCCCTCCCCCTTCACTTGATGACGATTACACCACCGATCTATACCGAAAACGTCTCATCACTATGATCATATAATGTATTATACCGGGCAGTCATATGTGTCAACTGGTGGATGGGCGAGAGCATACCTTTGATATTTTGTTAGTTAATTCCAAAAATATCATCGAAAAAGCACTTTTAGAATAGTAAAGTAATAATTATTTTATCAAGAAGAGTAAAATATTTAACTAAAAAAAAATTTAATGGATAAATTTAAAATTTAAAAAAAATGTTATTTCCGGTCTGTTGCCTATTATTATCCTATCAATTTTTAATCTGATTCTAATAAATAATAACAGAGTTTAAAGAAAACATAAACAAAAAAAGCTATGGAAATAATTAAATATGACAATATGCTCGATGATTTCACAGACCATATAAATAAAAAATATTAATTATAGCATTTTAAATTACCTAATAAATATATGCATAAATAATGTAGCTGTAAGACACTTAATTGTTGAGCTAAATTTTTATAAAGGCTAATGAAAAAAAAAATAAACATAAATAATATGCAGTTTAACAATAAATAAGAAAGACAAAATTAAGAAAGTCATATGAGACTCCTCCATTGGGTTTTGAAATTTACCGTTTAACTGTTTATTATTGTTAAGATATAGATAGAACAACAATGGAATTTATACTTACAGCCTATAAGTTTTAAATATATTAATTTTTTTATACAAAATTTAAATACAAGGAATCTCGAGTAATTACACGTGTAACAATACGGATTTTAATTACAAGAGGATTAATACATTTAAGAATCGGGTACACGTATTGGTTAATACTCGGTCAAAATCGCGAGCTCTAATGTTAACTCTCATATACTGATATACATTTGTGTTTGTAAAATACTCAATTGGCACATTTGATAATTTATTATCGTGTATTAATACAATTTTTCAATCTATTCAAATGAATTCTGCTAACGTTCGTTTGCATCATATCTTAAATCTTTGTCACCTTAAAACATTTACGAGAAACACCATGCATTGACCAAAAAAGACTAAGTAAGATGATTATTTTACATATTGAAAAAACTTTTAAAATTAATTTTGACACAATTATTGATCAGTTTAATGACAATTTAACAAAAAGAAGAAGACTTAAATTGACATAGACATTTAAATTTAAATTTAAACATTTGACTGTTGAAAAGATATATTGGGATTGGTAATAACTTTTTAATACTATTATTTATATAATTATTGATCAATAATCAAATAGTACCCGAATACTTACCTTATACATTAAAGCAGCGTTTCCCAAAGTGTGTTCCGCAGAACCTTAGGGTTCCGTGGGACAATGTCAAGGGTTCCGTTAGATGTATGAGATTATTGAGAAAATTATGTTTATTTAATGTTTGTTGTTTAAAAAATGTTTGATTGAAAATTTTTTTTTAAACTAAGTTTAATAATGAAAAGTCATTAACAGTATCATTAAAATATTATTTNTCATTTTGGTAAAAGAAACCTTAACTTACAATATGTATTATATATTTATATTATTCTTTATTATACATAAGTATTATTACCTATAGGTACAGTATACGGGCATACGGCCATACCTTTGTTAAAATGTATAATAGATAACATTATACCTACCAGGCGCGGATCCAGAACATTTTTACGGGGGGAGGGGGGGTCATCAAATATTATTAATAGAGATTATCAGGGTTTATTATGATAATATTTTTCGACATCAGAATAATGATGATTACTGATTAGGTTACCTTTAAATAGACTAAAAAATAATTAAACAACATTTTTTTTTTAATATTTAGGTTATTCAATCTTACATCTCATTTTATTGCTTATAAAATATTTAATTACATTACTTTTTCTACATTTGCAGAGCTAAATATTACTAGAGCCTAAGAATAATTTAATGTGAAATAATATAGTATTTTCATTGATTATAGAATGGATTTATTCTATAATAAATCATATATCTTTTTTTTCTTAATTTTTTTTGGGGGGGGGGGATAATTGCTCCCATGCCCTCCTTGTATCCGCGCCTGCTATATACAGGTTATTTAAAGATACTGAATAATTAAACATACTTATGATGATTTGCTGTGACTGGTTCTGTGAGTAATATGTTTCGAACATCTTTTGGCATTGTTTTGAATAACACACTTTTTTCTTCCATTGTCGATATTAAATTGAGTGGTAAATTGACGTCGTTCGAATTACATCGTGCCAGAGGGTTTTTACCGCCAATGGATGCGATAAGAAGAAGTTCAAATCCTAGACAAATTCCAAGTATTGGAAATCGATCTCCGTCATCATTAATCTAGAAACAACATTTTTAAACCTATAAGATCTATCTGAATACATTTGAAAACAGTTTAATGGATCTATGTATAGACCTTAGTCATAATAACATTTTTTTTTTCAAAAATATCACTGGAGCTTATTAACCATATTGTCAATACACCAGTATACTTAAACTAAATAATGACAATCAAGTATCAACAATATAAAATTATATATCCCCACACATTAATCTTTATTTTTCAAATTAATTTTAATCAATACAAATAAGAAATCCAAATAAGAATTCCAAAAATAACATTTTATCATCGTCAAAATAGTTAATAGCTGTATCAAATTTCAGACATCAAAAAATTTTACTTACAATAAAATATATTTAAATTACCATCAAATTACAATTTTGTTTCAGTAACTTGTAATTTCAGTTAAGTTACTCACTAACACTAAATAAATTGTTATTATTATTTCCTTCGGAACAACTGGACCAATAATCGTATTTAAAATATATATTCATTATTATCTGAATTCTGCACAGATGATTAATTTTGGCGTTTATAGATGCTGTTATCAACTATCAAGTAATTAGGAATAACTACTCATCACGATCATAGTATCATTGTATTATATTCCTAGTAGAGGTCGACGAGGTGGTAACATATAGATCACCAGACCTTTAACCAAAGACCAACAAGAACGTAATATGAGCCAGTTCTAAAACATACTGAATATTTAACTAATAATTAAAATTAATTACAAAAAGGTATATAACAGTTTGATTGACAAGCTAGCTATTATAATTACCTATTGTACTCCACTTGACTTATATCCACGGACGCGCCTATAGTTATAGGTCAGATCTTTTACTCAGAGGCTCTGCGGTAGAGCCTCAGAGGGCGCAACCAGACGCATACCTAGAGGGGGGGGGAGAAACTTTAGATATGTATAATATCTAAGTTTGATAAATCTGTAGCCGTGGCCATCTGAAATCAGACCTTGGACACGCCTATGCACCTAATCATAAATGAGTGGTCACAAAATATAAATATATGAAATTATGAAATAATGAAAATCTCTACATAGTATTTTTGTTATTATATTTATAATTCAATAAGATGTTAGTTTAAATAGTCGTATATATTATATATATATATATATATATATTGTATAATATGGTGAACATGTAATATAATTAGAAGTATTTCCAACGTTCAACCCTTTAGAAATAGGTAGTCTTAAAAAATAAATTATTTTATTAAATTATACATAAATTACACGTTTGGCAATCTGAAAAACTTCACTGGTTGATTGACTGATTCCGAAACTAATATTAAACGCACATCCTCCTCCAGGAACCAAAATTCCATTTACTTTGTTCACTACATCCCTAAAGCATTTTAAAATATTGGTAATTGTTTTTTTTTTAGGTAATGTTCAAATGTAATTGTTCTGTTGTTACATACTTATAATATTCAGTAGTCCTGTTTGTGAAAACTGGTATAACTCGTCCTCCAGAAGCTTCAATTGATTTAACATAAGATGCAGCTATATACGATTTATATGATGGCAATAATTTTTTGAAACTTATAGACCAATAAATTTCCTGTGTTAGTACTCCAATCACTGGTCTTTCATTACAAATGGTTAGTTTTGCCACAAAACATAAAATTAAAGTTAGAAAAACTGGTAAGTACATTGTGTTTCCAATTTTACCTAATTTAAATTGAAGTATTATAATGATCGACACCAAACACCAGCACTTACCAAAGTAGATTTTTAGCCTAACCTAACATGAGGCTTTGCATTTTATAAGCAAGTGATTAAAATGTATATAACATTGCATTATCTATCATTGAGTGATTGAATAAACATAATCTATTGAATTTTTATAGTATTTAACTAAATGTATATTTTAATCTCAGGATAACGCTGCTTTGTCGGACGAAGGTCTGTTATATTCTATTATGATGTTCTCGCTTATTATCGCCGCCTCACACGTGTAATAAATAATATATGTATATATTGTTGATGTAGGTAATATTTAATAGCTGTTGGATGGTTACAAAGGTTTTTTTTTAATTGTATTAATTTCAACAATATGATAATTATAATAAATGTATAGCTCAATAATTATAGCTACTTTCATAGTTATCGTTAAAATATAGTAAAATACACCTACGACCTACATTATAATTTATAGTAATTAGTAATGAATCGTAAAGTAATATTAAGATAGTTACAAAATATTAGTGGGTATAATAAAATAAATATGCAGCTCATTGTGAATCATCAAATTAAATGAATATCGTGTTTTAACGATAAACCTATGCAAATTATGATAATGATTAAAGGAAATAAGATAGAAATAACAAGGGGAAAAAATATTGCAAAAAAATGTTCGCTGGATCAAAAAACTTAATAAACTTATAGTAGGTACTTATCCCCTTCTTTTATTTTATTAGTTTTCCAAATGTACGGTAGCTAGTTTGAATTAATTTTTACCAAAAGGCAAAAATGTCAATTATATTACGTAACAGCAATATAATAAATGATAATATTTGTTCGAATTATTGTTAGTACAGTATAGTCAATAATTACAGTAATACTTAACAATTTACGAGTAACCTTGTATTAAATGTACCTACAAGTTTTTTGCAAAGCAAACAATTTTCATTTAAAATTAATAAAGAAATCGAAATTTCTTAGAAATTTCACATGCTTATAAATAGCTCAAAAGAGTCAAAATTTTTGGAAATGTCTAGATAATGCTAATATAAACATTTGTCTATCTATGTTTATTCGTTTTTGAGTAACACCAAATAAAAATAACCTTATATTTTTCTCCATGATGCTGGAAATTACCTAGGAGTTGTTTTTACTTATGACCCCCAAATTGCCAATAAGATATAGGTAATTTTCTACTAGAAACTACCGTAGTACCGTCATAATTGAAAGTTTCAAGAACCAGTTCCCTCAAAACCACTGTTTTCCAAACGTTTCACAACTTATAACTGGTATGGCGTAATGTCGATTGTCGGGCCTATGACACTGACATTTTAGCAAGAATAAACGATTGTGGCAGTTAACGTTTCCGTAACTCTGGTCCAAATTTGGTTGGCGGATGATTTGTGTTCATGTTTCTGGTCTTCTGGGAGGTTCAGAAATCAGAATTCTGTTTTCAGAAAAAGATTAACAGGTAAAAATAAAAAATAGATCAGCTGATAGTTTCATTTCGATTTAATCGTTCAATATTGTTCCATAATCCATGGTGATTGGCGATATCAACACTTGAAAGAGAGCTTGGTTTATTTTTAATTCATTTATGAAAATAATAGCTACCTATTTAAAGTTATAAAAAGTTCCAAAATACAACATTCCTATTTTCGTAATAACAATAATCATAAAATTTATTGTGAAGAGGTTTTTTTATTACGGTTTGCAACTTCTGGTGGCACTGTATATAGGCGGGAAATATCAAATAAATTATCCACCAGAAAATGAGCCGGTTTTCGGTATTATCATTTTAAAGTAGATATTTGATTGTAATCACTTAACAACACGATTAGACAAGATAATGTACTTTTCGGTAATCGGTATAGTCAAAGAATAAACTATTTAAAATTTAAAATTTTAATTATAGTTCACTTTTCACTAGTATACTCTTCAAAGTTTGAATACAGCCATGTCCACCATGTAAACAATGTACTGTTTAGCCGTTTAGGTAGGTATCTACATTATTATATAGGAATTGAGTTTGATTAGTTGAATGTAACATTTTGAAAAAAACAAACTCCGTTTGCTGTTTATTTTACACTTTATAGTTATTAATAATTATTACTAGTTCCTGCAATGCTACTATAAGTAGGTACTTACTTGTTACTTATTACTGTTTGCTTATTACTTGTTGACTGTAGTATCACAGATTAAATAAAAATCTTTTTATTTAATCTGTAGTAGTACCTACTTGTAGGAGTATCGTGTTCCTATATGGCTAATATTCAAATTTAAACTGTCACAAATCCCCATAATTTCAATCTTTATAGTTATCAAACTGTTTCTCTATATTTTAATGACTTGATCAAAATTAATTATCCATTTTAAATAAATAAACCAAACTATTTGTCTGCTTATTTATTTTTTCACCATTGATTTGTTTTGATTCGACAGATTTTGACATATTAATAAATTGACGATAATTAATAATTCTATGCATTAAAGTTTCCTTGTTATTTAGTTTTCATTTTGAATGGTCGTTATATTTAAAATAAGTATTGTAAGTACCTAGATCATAATTATATTATAAATTATAATCAATTCAATGTAAAAAAAATAACAATTGAAACATGTTGACATGTTGATTGAAATTGTTACAAAAAAAAGAACAATAAGAACAATTGATGGTATAAGATATGTAAAATAAAATTTAAATTATAAAATATCAATGTTTACTGTTTAGTGTGGCTACTTGATATTATATTATACACTAACCCGGCGTTGTTAACTTAGTAATACCTTGTGCATTGTGATTTTCTCGTGGTAAAATGCTGTCTAATATCCATACTATCTAAACAACTTACATGATACAAATCAAATTATGAAATTTTGATATTTTTTTAACTGCTTAATAATTATAAGATGTGAGTATGTGAGATTAACTGAGGACAGCCTACGACGCTGTGCAGTTTGGCTGAATGGGGAGATTGTTTTTTTGCTGAGGAGCAAATCAGAGTTGATGAAAATGAAGAAAATAATAATTAGACTGATGAAAACAAATTTACCTAGTTAGTTTAAATACAAAGGATTATACACTCATAAATATTGAAATATGTACTATCAAATCAAACATACTTAGCTGATTATAGTTTAATAGTTGTATTTAATGAGTTAAAGAAATAAGATTGCAGCATGATCGTTTTAAGTAAATTATGTTATTATGCTAAAAACAAACCATGCCTGACCAAAACAAATATCCATAGAAATGTAATAACAATTTCTTATAATATAGCTTTTTCAATAACTTAACAGTGATTGGATTTTACATATTATGTTGGATTCCCAAGTTTGTATTGTATTTATAAGAGTGAATTATGAATAAAATATATTATTATTTTTGTATTGTAATTTAATACTGACAAGATTTTAATTATTTTTAGGTATAACATATTGTTTGAATTAAATATACATGTACATATATTATATTTGCCAATATTCAAAATGAAAAAAGTGGAAAATCAATATGTGCCATTGCATCGTTTTGAAATAGTTTGCTATATTGTTATATGGGCTTCAGGCATAATTTATGCTGCTTATAATTTATTAGATGTCAGCTTCAGTAAGAAATTTTTGACATATATATTTTAATCTTTTGCTTTTCCATATACCTAATGTATATTTATATTTTATTAGATTTGAAGAATTCAGAAGTACCTGACTTAGTACCTGGATGGCATTGGCTTGGTCGAAGAAAAGATACTTGTCCAGAATGGAGAATATGGACTACATTTCTTATGTACTCGTTAGGTCCATGGGTTATTTTACATTCATCAATTCTACTATTGACACAACATTATTTTTCAAAGGTTTTTTATTCATATTAATTTATAAAGTCTTACAAATAATTGATAAATTATACATTTTGTTCTCATTTTATATAGATATCAACAATACGTGATGTCTGGTTTATTACTGTTACTAGCTTATGTGTAGCTCATAATTTTGGTTTATTATCAGTCTTCATATTTTTTGGTCTGACTTTGATTTATTACTGTTTATTATTATTTGGTAATCAATTTTCCATTTGGATTACAAGCATATTATTATTAGGAGTTGGGTCATACAATGATTCTTTATTTGTAAGTGAGGGAGTTAAGAATTGTAAATTATACTTTATAAATATTAATAATTATTATTGTTATGCTTATAGACCATTTTTGACCCTAGTTCAGATGGAGAGATTGCATATTTATTACTTTTGACAATATACTGGCATCAATTACGCTGTATAAGTTTTTCACTTAGCTCATTGGATAAAGCTAAAAGTAAAACTTTGCCGAATTGTCTACACTTTTTAGCATATTCATTTTACTTACCATGTTTTTTCTTTGGACCCATAATTATTTACAAAAAAATTAATGTAATTTCATTTAAAAATTGATTATTTTAATTCCTTTAATATTTTTTTTTTTTTTACAACAGGATGAAAATACAAATACTACCATCACACCATTGAGTCAACGTTTGTCAAAACTCATAATAAATTTGATTAGATACTTTTTTTGGATGTTTTTTGCTGAGTTCATGTTACATTATGTTTATATTAATATGTTTTTACAAAATATTAAAGTATGTTTTGCTTACCTAATCATAAAATAACATTTTTAGTTGTAATGATTTCATTTATTATTATTTTTCTAGGTTTTCAAACATTTTGGAATTAGTGCACTTAGTGGATTTGGTTTTGGAATGGGACAATTTTTTTTCATTAAGTACACATTCATTTATGGTACTGTAATTACAGTTGCAAGATTTGATGAATTCATTGAACCTCCCAAACCACCAAAATGCATTTCACGAATTTATTTATATTCCGATATGTGGAGAAGTTTTGATCGAGGACTTTACAACTTCTTAAAAGAGTAAGTTTAATTATATTTACTTGATGTGCATAAATTTAGTTATACATATAGAATTAGTTTTAACTTTATCTATAAAAAATATCTACTATATAAAATGTAATAACTCATTATATAGCAAGTCTTAACTCTTAAAATAGAATGTAATAAAGTATCTGTAAAAAAATACAACAATGTACTCAATTATAGTTACATAATTAGTGTTATAGGTAGTACATAAAATTATAAAAATGATAGAATAGTATTCTATGTTTAATATCAGTCTTATTAATATTTTAATGTGCCAGACACTTGGTTCATGCGCAATGTGCATAGTGTATTAAACCATTAAAGTATGAATAATAATGATAATTTACAGATATAATCTTAGATTTTAATAAAGAATATACTAAACTATTTATAACTACAATACTATTGTGATATTTAAAATTCACAGTTGATACATTTATTCATCAAATAAGTAAACTTGCTCGAAAACAGATTTCAATTTCCCCACGTAAGTGGTAGGGTAGTTATAAATTAATTCATTTTCCAGCTGACTTTGTTTGATATATCTATGCTTATTTTGACGACATTCATTGACAAACCAATCATAAAAATAGCGTGCTGAATATATTGCTGACCAACTATGAGGGTCATTTCTTTCCCATTCATAAGCATTTTTTTCTGGATGGAATTGTAATCCCACAAATGGATAATTTTTAGCTTCTACTGTGGATATGTATGTCAAATTATTTTCATCTTCATTTATTGTTATAGGATTCCAAAAGTGATCTAACTTCATTGACGTAAAGTTCTTTTGTGTTACACAATGACTGTATAAAAAACAATACCAATTAATTAAAATTTTTAAAAAATGCTTCAATAAATATATTAATAAAACCATGTTTATATTATTATGTTATCATTAAGTCTAGAAATCTTTAATTTGTTTTTCCATATTCTCTTTAATTATATACACAAGAATGATGTTTTATAAATAGCATAAAATATTGAAACCAATTTTTAATGTATAAATAGATACAAAAAAAAGTAAATTCATAATAAAAACTTAATAATTATCATGTTTTGAAATGTTAAATTTATCCCTACCCCTTAAAATCTACCTATGTGACTATGATATCCCAAATGTTATAATAAGTAATTATACTTTTAGTTTGTTCTAAGTGTATAATATAATGTTCTAATATCTATATAAAAATAATATTAGAATTCATTCATACATATGATGGTTTGCTGTGACAGGTTCTGTAAGTAGAATGTTTCGAACATCCTTTGGCATTGTTTTGAATAACACACTTTTTTCTTCCATTGTTGGTATAAGATTTAGAGGTAAATTCATGCCTATAGAATCACAGGCTGTTAGAGGATTTTTTCCATCAATAGATGTGATTAAAAGAAGTTCAAATCCTAAACAAATTCCAAGTATTGGAAATCGATCTCCTTCATCATTTATCTGAAAAACAAATGAATGGCCTAAGGTCTTTTGAAATATAAAAAATAGTGAAATTAAGAAGAATTAAAATCCTAAACAAATCCCTGTTATTGTAAATTATTGTTATTTGTATTATTTATAACTGAAAAAACTGGCAATGATGAGTGCATGAGCAACAAAAGATTTCAACCATGAATAAATGTATTAATTTTATTGATTTCTTTAATTATGTTATATTTTTTACATGTTTCACAATGTGAAAAATCTCATTTGTCGATTGACATATTCCAAAACTAATATTAAACGCACATCCTCCTCCAGGGACCAGAATGCCATTCACTTTTTTCACTGCATCCCTATAACATATTATAGTTGTTATTTGTGTTTGTTATAAAAAATGTAATTATACTGTAACGTACATATAATATTCAGTAGTCCTGTTGGTGAAAACTGGTACGACTTGTCCTCCAGAAGCTTCAATTGATTTAACATAAGATGCAGCTATATATGAGTTATTAAGTGGTACTAAATTTTTAAAACTCGACCAATAAACTTCTTGTGTTAAAATTCCAATCACTGGCCTTTCATTACAATTTGTGAGTTTTGTTACAAAACTCAAAATTAAAGCAATAAAAACTAGTAAATACATATTTTGGAAATAACTAGTACATGTACTAAATTAAAACACTGATTGAACAAACAAACTGCAAGTTCAAAATTATTTCAAAGCTTGTCTTATGTGTATTAGTTACCTAATAGTAATGGTTTATTTTCGAATTTTTTATCTTACTTTTTATACCATGTTTCCAATTATAATAGTTTAATCAAACACATTATTAAAAACTTTAAATGTCAAACCAATTACTTGTAATTTAAAATTGCATTAATTTAATGACGAGATTATTATATCTTAATTTTTAAGCTATCTGCCCATAATACAAATATAATTTATAGCAGATATTATTCAGAGCTGTATCAAATTATCACATAAAAAAATAAAAAACACTGTTACTTTTTTTGGTTGAAATATTGTAAAAAAATCACTAAATAAAAATATATTTATAAATCTTATTTAATTTTATACTTACCTGAAAATACTTATACATTCATTCAAATTGGTATATAATTTTTAAAAAAAACCAAAGCTTTGGATTATTCAACACTTCAGACTGTTCAGAATATTGAAATAGTGTTTTGTTGATACAATTTATAAAAATTGTTGAAAATTGATGTTATTGAAACTCATGTAAATGTATTTCATCAAAGGTGTAGATATAAATTATTGGTTTTTTAAAAATATAAAAATATCATTCCTTGTTTATTATAGTAATAATAATATATTATGCAAAATACAATATAATATGTACATTTTATATATATATATGTATACTCTAAAGAAATAGAATAATATATTATTTAAAATTATAGTACTATTGTGAGTTATGCCATTTAGAACAAACCAATGATACATTTATTCATTAAAAAAGTAAACTTGCTCGAAAACAGATTTCAATTTCCCCACGTAAGTGGTAGGGTAGTTATAAATTAATTCATTTTCCAGCTGACTTTGTTTGATATATCTATGCTTATTTTGACGACATTCGTTGACAAACCAATCATAAAAATAGCGTGCTGAATATATTGCTGACCAACTATGAGGGTCATTTTTTTTCCATTCATAGGCATTTTTTTCTGGATGAAATTGTAATCCCACAAATGGATAGTTTTTTGCTTCTATAATGGATATGAATGTTAAATTATCTTTATCTTTATTTGTTGATATAGGATTCCAAAATGTATTTAAGTTCATTAATGTAAAGTTTGTTTCCTCCATACATTTACTGTAAAAAAAGATATTTACATAAATAAAAATATGTTTAATAGAATGTAGATTAAATAATATTCCTGTACAATAAATTAAATAAAGTAGCAGTGAAATATTTTTCTTAAATTCATACCCGGATATCCCATATACTTTACATGTACGGACCTAACCTGTTAAAATTATAAATAATTGGAATATATATGGCTCTATATCAATACTCTTGAAATAATATCTGTGTTGTAATGAATATTATAGACATGCATTTTGCTTTAAAATATCCAAAAAATGTATAGATATAATGGATAAAAATATAAACTTATTGAATAACAATGAAGAAATAGGCACTTTTTTCTAAAATAGACAAAATATACAAATATGGTTTTTTTTATTTTTAAACTCGTCATTGTATAGAATGGCTTTTTAGCTTAATCTACTATAAATTGAGAGTACATTGAGAAATCTATGTAGAGAGCATCAACAACTTCTAAATCTCAGTAATGAGTGATCTGTTATTAGTTATTACTTAAACGTTAATAATAGAAACGTTTCTAATATGATAGTTGATTTTTATGTTATAAAGTGTATATCTAATTAAAATAATTAATTAATACATACTAATGATGATTTGCTGTGACTGGTTTTGTAAGTAATATGTTTCGGATATCTTTAGGCATGTTTTTAAACAACACACTTTTTTCTTCCATTTCTGGTACTAATGTTAAAGGTAAATAGATATCTTGAGCATCGCATTTTGAAAAAGGAAATTTCCAATTGATAGATGCCATTAAAAGAAGTTCAAATCCCAAGCAAATTCCAAGAATTGGAAAGTGATCATTTGCATTGTTTACCTGAAAAAAAAGACAAAATGTAGTCAATGGACAACAAAGTATTTTGACCCTAAATAAATGTATTAATCTATCCATATTGATATCTTTAATTTTGTTACATATATTATTTACAAGTTTTGCAATCTGAAAAATTTCATTTGTCGATTTATCTATTCCAAAACTATTATTAAATGCACTTCCTCCTCCAGGGACCAAAATGCCATTTACTTTTCTCACCACATCCCTATAACATTTTATAACTGTTAATTGTGTTGCAGATTATATTATTGTGTAGTAACATACATATAATATTTAGTAGTCCTGTTGGTGAAAACTGGTACAACTCGTCCTCCAGAAGCTTCGATTGGTTTAATATAAGATGCAGCTATATACGACTTACTTGATGGTGCTACATTTTTAAAACCAGTCCAATAAACTTCTTGTGTTAATATTCCAATCACTGGTTTTTCATTACAATTTGTTAGTTTTGATAAAAAACTCAAAATTAAAGTTAGAAAAACTGGTAAATACATTTTTTTACCGATTTTACCTAGATTAAATTGAAATATTAATGTGTAATAAGTTATTACTAATAACCAACCTAAATTACCATCACTTACTAAATTAGAATGAACACTTTTTTGTTTGTATTAATATGAATATTTTAAACAAGAGATTATAATATTGAAGTATGTAATCGATTGGTTAAATAAACATATTTGTATGTATATTTAATCTCAGCACACAGTGCCACACCAGGGTAATCTTCTACAGATTTTTTCACTGTCTCTCATGCATAACAATCAACAAGTGCGTAGATTAGCTTTAATAGTGATTGGAAAGTGTTTTTTGAGTTACAAGTTGTTGAAAATATGTTACTAAGTACATAAAACATTATTTTCTGACTCTAGAGCATCTCATTGCTACTTTTTAAAATATTAAAATCAATTTAATATTCAGTAGTTTTGAACCACAAGAAATTTTTTTTTTTATATTTAGAAAAGAAGTTAGGTGCTAAACTCACTATACAATTTTATTAAATTTTAGACTAAATGGAACATGCTCTATGCATTGGTTTTTAAATGATGAAGGTTTTTATCATCTCTGAATGACAACTGGAAACACTTTTGATGTAATTACTAACAATAAAAATGTTTATGCGGTACTTCTATACATTTACATGGAACTCAAATATCCCTTTGACTTTATAATAAAACTATTTTATTCTGTAAAATAAATATCCATTTAAATCATATTAATATACAAGTAGATAAGATACTTAATTAATATAATATTATGTATTTATGTATGCAAAATAAGATCCATATATAAACTTCTAATAAAATATAAAAGTATAGAAAGAATATATTAATGTCTATATCTTGTGTTTATATTTAACTGTTATTTTTCAGGTATATTTATAGACCATCTGGATATCATTCGGAAAATGTTAGACTTGGTACCAAACTGACTAGGTCATTTATGTGTTTCGCATTTATTTTCATTTGGCATGGATTATCATGGGAAGTTTTCTTATGGACTTTTTTCAACTTCATAGGCATTACATTGGAAACCGTAGCCAGGGTTGTTGGAAAAACTTCTTGCTATTTCCACTATGTTAAAGTAATTAAAATTGTTTATTTTAGAGGTCTTATATAAAAGACTAGTGGGTTTATGTGTTTTAAAATATATCAAGCGGTGAATATGTTTATTTTACTTAACTTATATTTATTGATTCAATTCTAAAATATCAATATTTGGACGTTAGATGTATGTAGTAAGTTTTTTGATGAACATTAAACACAAATTAGGTATTTACTAACTTAAACACTGCCCTCCAAAAAGCGAACAACATAAAATATATAGTATAGATTCAAAATTTGTTGAAATGATCAACAAAAAACTAATGCTGGTTATAAGTTAAAAATAAACTTTAAAATAATATACAGAAATGGGCATAAGTCAGTTACCGCTGTTGAGTTATCTAAAATCTGCCTATTATTATTATTAATATATTGAGGAACTGACTTTTGCTACACTCAGTATAGATCAGTCAATTGTTCATAACCATTGTGAATTATATGATTATAGTGCAATTTAAGTCACCCTAATGAAAGGCGGTTTTTAGCACTTATAACCAGTCCTTTAACAATGCTGTCGGCCATTTCAAACTTTTTCTTTTTTGGTGGTATTGATGCTGGATTGAGTTTTTTTGAAGCAATATTTTTACTCAGTAAGTAATTTTTATCATCAATAGATTTTACAGTATTAAATTAATTCATTTATTATAATTTTTTAGATACATGGATTGAAAACATTATTATCATCATAATATTTTATTCAATGTGTCAAATATCTATAGAATTCAACCATTATAAAAAATCAAAAAAACAATAAATATGTATCTCTTAAATAAGGTACATATTTTATTCAATTAATATAAAGTATTAAATTTAAAATAAATATTAATCGGTACAATTTATATAATAAATGTACTTTGTTCTAGTTCCTATATTTGATATTGTAATATTGTAAATGCAATGATTTAATTAGTCTGTAGCCTACGTATGTATTACAAACAAATTAACTGTAAACACTAAGTATTAGAAATAAAAATTTAATTAATTAAGTATTATAATTTTATTACTAAATAGTAAGAACAATAATGATTAACATGTATCTCATTCTAAATACAGATTCAAATTTCAAATATGCTTGTAACAATTACTTATTTTAAAATTGTCTAGTTATAGTAATTTCATGAATGTATTTATAATTTTCTGTAAGTATCTATCTACAAATAAATTGTATAACTTTTATATGAATTGCACCATTACCTATGGTATAATTTTAATAACTTTATTGTTGGCATATCTAAAATTGTATTTCAAATTAAAAAACAAAAATGTAAAGTATTAATTATAAAACATTTTAATGATGTGGTCTCCTATATTATATTGTGTATTGTTATTCATTTCTAGTGTATTTATCCTCTATATTGAGTGCTATTCAGTTCATTTCAAACTCAACTGTTTACATACTATTAATAGGAGACTAAAAATATTCTATTCTTTTTTCAAGAGAATATGAATGTGTGTATTGTAAATAACAAAAGTCTATATCATAATAGATTATGTACATTGGTTTTATGGATTGAAGTAGATTGAGAAAAGGACAAGTGCTATGAGTCATATACTTGAAGTAGCAGTGATGTCTTATTTTTCAGTATTGCGAGTTCAATTGAAAATGTTGTATTTTAATAAGCTAGTTGAAATAGCTTAAAAGAATTCTTCATAGTAATATAGAATCTAAAAAACGACGATTAATAAAGTGCGATTAAATTTAATTGAAAATGTTTAATTAACATGGTGAATTACATTTTTGTCATTTGATTGTTAAATAGTAACTTGATAACATGTCAGTTTGTTTATATAAGACATAAAGATGTTCATTATTTCAGAATACTTATCAAATTCTAAATGACTTCTGTTTTAGTCATGTTTTTTATACTCATACTATAGGTACCTAGACTATAAAGTATAAATTCTGTTATTTTCATAACTAGAAAACATTTTCTTTCTTTGATGTAGGTATATCAATATTTAATTTTGATCAAATAATTTACGAGCTAAAATCTTTTAAGTTGAGTCAAAGGAGTGTGGAGGTTAATCTCGAGTAGCAAACATTACTTCTAAACTGCTTTACTCAAATCATTAATACTGTAAATCGTAATGAATAATTACAAACTGTGTTTTTCTCTAAATTAAGATATTTTGTAAATAATTGATTTGTTAATGAATTCTTATAGATTATAATATACATAAAGAAGTTGCACCTACCCAAAGAAGTGATTGAATGTCAATTATATGACAAACCAATTGTAAACGTCCTTCTTAAAATCATGCTGTGTTAGGTACGTATCACATGCAATTCAGTACCTACGTATCAACAAGTAGGTAGATTGTAGATACTATTAAAATATTTAAAGATCTAATTTGTTTTATCTTAATACAATATTTGGATTCAGTTCAATATGCATAAATAATAAAAACTATAAGGAATATCATATTATTATTTAGATAATCCGAGGTTTGAAATACAAAAACCTCTATAATATTTTAATTATATTCAGAGCCACCCTGTTAAACGATCATCAATTATAGGTACCTATTATAATTATACTATTCATGTATAATTGTACAGTGACCATTCTTAAATCGCTCTAACTATAATTCTATACACTGATTATATGTACAGTTATTTGATTGATCAACTTAAGTAGTATTATATAATATTATAACTTATTCTAGTTTTTGTTATCAGTATCTCCTGGAATGACAATGTTGTATGTCTCCTCTATGATAAGGTGGTGGTGGGGGCGGCGTTGGGGGAAACCCTCCTCTGTCTTGAGATCCTAACGATTGCCTGTCCACCTCTATAATATCCTCGTTGTCTTTCTGGAGGGCCGAAAAACACATGTCTCTATTAGCGCAACAACTTTCCTGATGTCCAACATTGCAAGACGACGATATCACGCTGGAGCTGTATTTTTTACGGCGGAAAATCTAAAAAGAAAAAAAGGGATTACAATTGATTAATATATTTTGAAAACAACTATAATATCATTGGAATTCGTTACTTTGGTTTTGATAATGCTGCGGCTGATGCGTCTGAACTTTCGATTCAAAGCCCAGTATATGAACGGATTCCAAAAGCTGTTGCTTAGTGCTATCCACGTGATTATGAAATCTACAGCCGGCGGCATCTGTATTCACGGTAAATTCGTAGTCAAATACATCATCTTGGTTGTATGTCCCGATATTTATTTATTTTAAATTTATATTAAATTAAAATTAAGAAATACGTACTTTTGTTCCTGTACACGCAGTGACAACTTCTTGAATTGTCCATGGAGTTACGGCTACTATAAAACCTAATGCTACTGCTCCCATAGCCCTGGTAGTTCGAATGCTTTGTCTCAGTTCTTTCGATGCTAATCGATCAGATGCTTCGTCGAGGGTGTTCTAAATGGAATTAATTTTCTCGAGATAAGTACTTATTTAATTTTTATAGAATCTACGTTTTAGATGTTATAAGCCTAACCTTAAGAAAATCAACACTTAAAGTCAACGGTCTTAAGGACCCCCAAGTTCTAATTTAGCACCACCGAGTTCAAATTTATCACCTATCCCCCCCCCCACCATAGTAACCGTATTCTTTTTTTCGAGTGACTCGATGCCGTATACTCTCTCGCTACTTGCTCGATCGAAACGTCAGTTTTGTTGAGCTTGAATACAAGTACTCTTAAAAATCGATTTTAAACACATTCAATTTTATTATATTAATCCGGTATGATGAGGATTCCATATAACTAAGTCATATTCCAGATATATTAATTTATTATTGGTAAAAAGACTATTATAAGTATTTATTTTGTTTTGATATAATTTGTGTTGATATGTGCATAAAAAGTTTTCAAGTATTGGTGATTGTAGATTTGTGTAATTTTAGTATTAGGGGGTGCCATAGGTAAAACCCTCCACGGCTTTGTGAACATTTACAATAATACCAAGTTTTAGAGGTCTAGTTGCGCCTATGGCTTAACTATATAACATTGTATTCTGTATTACGATGAATGCTCGGGCATGCAGTCAGGCTTGTATTACTTACTACCGTGCGATGTTCTTACAAAAAATTAACACATTTTTGCTTTAGATTCCTTCATATTTTCATACCGTTAAAAGTGATTCTACCTCTTCCAGTACTTAAAGACTGAAACGATTTTCAGACATACCTACATAGATATAGTATTTAAACATATTGAATTAAAGTTAAAACGGAATTCATAGGTAAAAAAGTATTGTATTTGCTTATTATAATATACACAGAGTGTAGCTCCATACCTAACAAATGAAATAATTTTTGTTCTAATTAAAATGTTTAAATATTTTTATATACTTACAGCTTATTAATTCTTATACGCTACACGTAAAATAAAACATTTTTTATTTTTTTCATAGTAAAAGTAAATAATTTTTAAATCTGATTTAAACTGGTTTTGGAAAATTCAAACTAAAGTGATAACTTTAGTAACAAATATTTAGATTTTAACTTGTAGGTTGGGTTTTTGAACTTCAAATATTTACCTATTACGACTGATCGATATTAGATAGGCCTTAAAAAATATATAGAAATTTAAAAACAAATCTAAAAAATAAACTAAATGTAATGAATTTTTTTCTAAAAAGCAAATTTACATAACTATATTTAATTGGTTATTTTGAATTTTTCAAAAAAAATTTTAATTATTAAAAAATAAAAATAAAAATGTTATATTATACCACCCAGGGTGTAACGCAAGAATCAAAAAAGCAAAACCCCCTCCAGTAGCACGCTACTCGAAATTTTTCCTCTACAATGAAAATCCATATGAATCATAAATATGTTTTTGTTAATAAGTAACCACGACAACATATTATAATTATTATTTGTTACTAGGTACTTTAAATTTCAGGACCTATTCGTTATCCGATATTTCGAGTACTGACTTGTGTAACTTTCGAGTTTCGGTCTAGGAAAAGAGGTTGGAGTTACACAAATAGTTTCAGCGGTAGGTAGGCACCATGCACCTACTATGCGAGACTATTTTAATTTATTGTTAGGTAGGTACATTGGACGTTTAAATGTTTATACGATGTATATTTTACAAATTTAACTCAAGCTCTGTTTAAAATATATTATAATATTTAACTCGATCAGTTAGCTGTCCACTGCAATTATTTGCTTTACACTTTCTGGTAAACATCACACACCCCAAGGGACGGACGTACGTATCCAACAAAAACCTAACCAAAGGCCATTCGTTGTCGCCTGTCGGTAAAAATAACACCAAATATAATATTGTGTCTGATCTGATGTCGTATACTGTACGTGAACATCGATTTTGTCGGAGTGCACGCGGATTGCACATTTCAAATTCAATATTGAACATTAGATAGGTACCTACTATATTATACCACCTGCGTCTTTATAATAATTAATAATATACATATAGTAAATATAGACGTACCTTTCCAGCGTTATTGGGCAACATCGGTTGCACTAGAACGGCGCATATGTTGATTTGTTGCCTGTGCCGGAGCCTGTCCACGTGCAATGCCGACCCGTAGAAATACATGAGTGCCATTGTCGTGGGGAAGTAAAAAAGGCAGGCGGCCAATATTCGCAAACTCGGCCTCTGATAAAACGGCTCGCACGCCATTAATCCATTGCCGTTATAGAAATATCCACCTCGGCGGATGACCGCCGCGCCGAAAGCGGTTAGCGAACCCACTAGAGTCAAGCTCAACACCAACATACAGCCCTGAAATTGCAAAAGTCAAACTATACTGGAAATAACCAATAAGGGGCGACATTTTAATTATTTTTCAATCGCATCATACGGTGTACAATAATATATTGAATGCAAATTTGTACCAGCTGGCAGCTATTACCTAATTAATAGGTAATCAAACGTGATATGTATAGGTACCCCTGTACTAAATATAATAATATAGTAGGTAGATTATTAGTCAAGTCTTGTAAAAGATACTTTTTAAAAGTGTTTGAATACTCAGTAAAAAAAGTATCCTAGTACAAATACAAATGCTTTAAAAAATGTTTTATAGATATTCTCAAGTACCTATAGCTACATTCAATTTTTTTATAAACATATTTTTTTACCTTATAAATCAACATGCAGATCGATTTTCTTGTTCTACGTTAATTTTGTACGTCATTTTACACCTTATTATTTGGTGAAACTATAAAAATATACTAATTTGAATAATTTGATTTCTTGAAGTATAGTTAGAATTTTTGGTTGAGTAATCCACAGTAGAATACAACATTTTTTTGAATGTTTTTATTTTACGTAATTCAATTTAAAATTTAAATAGAAAATATACAAACTCAAACGAATAAGTATTTGAAAATTAGTATTTGATTTCGAAAACAGATACTTCAAGAAAGTATTAAAATACTTTGTCCGACTACTTTTTTTAAAAAGAATTTAAAATACGTATTTGAGTATTGGTTAAAAAGCATTTGAATATATTACACTTGTTAATGTTACGCTTATTACTACCACGATGATTCATCTATCCTAATCATTTATGATTTTATAAATTACGATTTACGACGTAAAATTAACGGCATGGCCGGTGGTCGAAAACATAAGAAGTTGTCTATACAATTTTTCTTCATTAATTATGAATCTATAAAAGTCTCAAGTCGTAAAGGATAACTTCCTTTTGTGGATTTTTTTGAAGTTTAACACTCTTGAAACAAATTAGGCTATTAAGGGTTATTCTAATTGTTGACTACCTACAATGGTTTTAAACATATAGCTGAGAATGCTTAATTGACTTTTGTCATCAAATTGCTTAATACTACTTCTTGTAGGCATTGGCAATTCGCACCTTTTCTATTTCTAAACTCAATTGTTTCCATTTCAGGACCGGAACACGACGTCGACTTTCCAGTTCTTAAATCTGAGTAGCGACTTGCGAAACTAGAAAGATTGCCTCTCCAAAGTCTAAAGTTCAATTTCCAATTTATAGAAGTGCTATTTTCACTGCCCCAGAAAAGTTACGAAAAAAAACAATTGCTCTCTTGTTTCAACCAGAATCTTAAGTACCTCTACTCAGCCATTTACAAAGCTATACACAAATTAAAATAAATGATTTATTGGTTGATATTTGATTTCTCTTATTCTTCTTCTCTTCTTCTTTGGAGAATTTATTTTAAAATCAACTAGTAACAATTTTTTAACGGTTCACGTGGTAAAATTATTATTTTGAAGTTTGAAATATGTAGGTTAATAAGTTGATGATGCGAATAGTAAATGTTTATACATTATATTATATTTTAATATCATTAATGTAGTATGTATTTTTAAATGTTTGTATCGGCTAAGACTTGCGTCGTCTTTACTCTGTTATTCTATATTTCTATGTATGTACCGTAATGTAATTGCCTGTTATTTTATTTTTTCTTGAGAAACCAGCGATTTAAAAATATTTAAAATCTTAAAAAAGTGACATATAGTTTTGAACATAAACTTTAAAGTTTACCATTTATGAATTATCAATTCAATTAATTTGAATTTACATTATTTATTTAATAAATTCTATAAAAAAGAACATGGTGAAAAAATATTTATGTTTTTTGCAATTGATTTCCGAAACGTATTACGAGAGAGTTTACGTGACGTCCAAATTTGAATCAATCCAGTAATTACTATCCACATCCTTGTAAGTTCCAGAGAAAACTAATATAAATTATAATATATCCAGAAAGTGATGGTAAATATGAAGATATTTTCCGAATAAAGATTTGATTTAAGAATCTGAATGAAGATTATACTATATTAAATTAACCACCTTAAAGACTTTTTTTTTAAATAAAGATTAAATAATAAATATCATTACATTTGAAATATTGAAAAAAATAGCGCAGTGTTGTTTAGGTTACATTAATTGTATAGATTATTACAATTTTATAATATAATAGCAACTATTTATTTAAAATGTCGGTCTTAGACAATATTTACATAACATACGTTTACTATTATATACATAATAATAATAATATTTTTTACAACAAGATTGGTGCATTTTAAGCATTATAATAATCAGACGTTTTAATTTGAAATGGTATAATTATTGTGTATTTTTAAAATTTTAAATCATCGAAGTGATTGTTTTTGCCCGTATAAATTCACTTGGCGAACAAAGAGAATAATTAAAACGACGAGGAAATATTTGAAGCATGATAGTGATTATGGAGTTGTATACCTACATGGATAATTAATTACCTATAAGGGAGGAATGTTTCGGTGACCATGTGTCAATGTATGTGCGTATGTGATCTAGAGCCGAAAGTTCTGAAATTTGGTACAATATATGTTGGTAATTCTATGACCGAGGATGTGCACCTCAAAGCAAAATTTTAAATTTTGCATTTTAAATAGGTGCTCACAGCCTCACGCAGTGATCGGTTGGCTTACGAAAATCTAATTTGTTTTTCGTATAGTATGTCACAATTGGTCAGATGCCTACATAAAATATGGGTAATAGTTATTAAAGTCTCGTATATAATTTTTGATCTGTATTTTATATTTCGTCAAAACCACTAAAATGAAAGTGTTGAAAATATGTGTAGATAGTTTAGCATTTAAAGTAGTTTAAGGCACGGCCACAGCAAATCCACTGGCATTGTTTAATTTGTCATGGGCAAATGGGAAATGCCGCGTAGGATCAGCTATAAATTATAATTAATAAATATATCTACCGTAAAAAAATCAAAGGCCTAAATAGATGACCCTTATGCAAATCCACAGTTATCGACCGGTTTTCATAGAATCTTTGTGAATAGGTTCAGCAACATCCGTAGTGTCATATAGTCTATACTTTATATTACTTTTCTTTTATATTTCAACACATAAAATATGTTGAATATCAGAATATAGTTGACTCGTGAAAAACTATATTTTTTTATTTATATAATAGGTATAAATTGTTGCCATTGGTTACAGAAAATAAAATATTTATTATGATTGGATATAATTTTAGACCGGTATTTTATATTTGGCCGAAACAACTCAAATAACTGTGTTAAAAATCTGTGCAGTTTACATTTAACGAGTTTAAGATGGGGTAAATTCAGGGGCATTCGTCCCGAGCCTCACAGAATCAGCCAGTAGAGAATAAATTGTAAAATATTAAAAGTTTTTAAATTTTTTGCTTATTCGTTTTTAAGAACAAATCTTTGTAAGAAAATCTATTAGATATCCTCCAGTTTTTATCGTTTATCGATTTTCCCCAACACGACACTGAATTATTCGAAATGTCTGCCTTCCCATTTTGTTCAATGTAAGGATATATGCATATACCCATTAGGTTTATATACATCATGCGTTGTAAAATATAATATGCATAAGTAGATACCTCTAATGGTCTAATACACTATTATCATTGGTTATTATAAAATCTATATTTTTGATTTTATAGTTATGTAAAATATTCGATCAGTAGAAGTACACTAATTAATATTTATTTGTTTATTACAAGTAGAGCAGTAACCTTTACTGATATGCAGAATGGAAAATCGACTTAATCTTGTTTCACAAAATAATATTATTTTTATTGCACGTTATCTATTGATTTTGCGAGGTCCGTGCAAGTTCTACGAAGGCATACGTCTTATATAGCCACCTAGGTAACATATTATTTAATACAATCTATATAAAAATATAGATTATATCTGTAGGTATTCTAAATTTCAAAAATATTTTGTACCCAATTAATTATAGGTATATAAACTAATAATTATTAGAATGTTAAGAGTAGTACATCTGATGCTGTATATGCTTTATTAAAATATTGAATAACAATTTACATGCTTGGTAATTATTATTTACGTACCTACCATAATATATTTTTTTCTGCTTTAAAAACAATTGTTAGTTATTAAATGGAATATTTTTGATAAACAGGTACATTTCAATTTATTACATACGTATATTATATCCTTTGGACTTTTATACTTTACACAAATTCACAATAGATATGCCTACATATTATATTATTTGTACAATTATACCTAATACATTTTTACAATCACTATTTTATTATTACATTAATCTATCCTCACAAAGTCATAAATCATTTAATTTTTTTAAATATTGTCTAATTATTGTTTTAGTTAAATAATTCTAATAATATTTTATAATTATATCGCTTAATATTTTGTAACACTGGACAGCCTTTGGCATGGAAGTGACCAGCCTTCTGGCATAATTATAATTGTCATTTTTTTTCTATTGTTAAAGTTTGTTACTTATCTAAATCAATATAATATATTATTTCAATATAGGAAGTGTCATATTTATTATTTTGGTATTATAAATTATTTATCATACAGACGTATCACATAGGAGATCAATGAACTATATAATGATAGAATAAATGTGTATTTATTATTATAATAAGGTACGTATTTCATATTTCTAAATACTAGGACATTTTTCGATTGTATGAATTTTCTATGATTCCCATTTCATATTCATAAATCACATAAAGAACGTTTTTTTTATCATTATTTGTTCTCAGTCTCATATACAAGTAACATTTCGAAAACACATCACGTATACCGATCATAAATTATTAGGAAACAATTTTAGAGCTAAAATAACAGTAGATACAAAACAATAAATAATAAATAATACTTTGAACATATTATATTATGTTTTATCTTCTCTATGTTTAGGCATTCATAAAAATGTTATGCTATTTAACATGTTTTATTCTAATTTAATCTAATTTAATGTGCTGCGCTGTAATCATTGTAAAATATTTAGTGAAGTACAGAGACTAGTTTATTGTTTAATATATTTTAACTAAAATATTAAGAGTGACTTTGACAGTGTATGAAACAGATGCATCTGCTCCTCTATCGGCGTTTTTCAGGGAGGTTGTTATATTAAACTGCAAGAACTATAACATGGTTAAAACGTACACGAAACAGTGAACACTTTCTATGGATGCTATAATGATAGCACCGACTTTGGTCCGACCTTTCAATTAAGTTTAATGCTGAGAATGATACCTTTTCCTAATATTGTTGTCACTACCATACGTTTAGGCCGATGAGAATTTTCAATTGAAACTTTATAAATGGTAATTTCCTTTACTCAAAGTGCACTGATAGAAATACAAGAATCTAATGCAAACCACTAAACTATTTCTTAGGTCGAAATGGAAAATATATAAGTCATAAGTTATAATAGTTATAACTCAGCTGTTTGAGTATTTCATCAAGACATTTTCAGGGAAAACTTGCAATATACATAGGATGTAAATCGGAAATAGAAATTCAAATGACGTTTGACTTAGAGGAAATTACACCCTATATTGCTATATACAGCTAATATAGTAGCAGGAACAAAAAAAAACGGTAGTTAAAAATATATGCAATTTATTTTCTTAGTTCAAAATAGACTTTTTAAACATGACTGCTGATAATTTATTAACAGTAACTGACTAATTATGCCATTATTATGTTGATTTAAAGATATAAGATAATTTGAAGTATCAATATTTGTTTACATAATATTAGTATTGAATAATATTTTGGAGCAAACTATAAAATATGTATACACCTTTAGTTAGCTTAACTGAATTTAGATTTTATTTATTTACTAGAAATTATTTCGTTACAATCGATCGACCTCAAAGAATTTGATAAAATATATGAAATAGTATAAAATTAACAAGATACATAATACAATTTAATAACGTAAAGACATAAACATAAAAAATAATACATTATATTATTTAGTATAAAAAATATAGATTATTTTGATTATCTGAATTCTGAATGGATGAAGGTCCAAGGAAATAATATTTTGACGTTGAAAACGAGCACAAATGTAGTATAATATTTTACTTTAGTTAGTTCCGACGTAAATGATAAATACTTAGTATTTTCATTCTATACTCAATTTTTCGTTCACACGAATAAACATTAAATATCTGTGTATTCATAAGTTTATGAACCATTTCTTTGAGTTTTATTGTTATTTATCATAAGATTTATAAATACGGGTTTGAATACTTAGAGGTACCTATATATCGAAAATATGAGGAACTGAATATAAATGTATCTTTTACGAATTGTAAATGGAAATTATTCATAGTTTTTAAACAAAATATAGGTACCAGAGTGTACTTCAATTTTATTACACGACTTTATTTGCTTGATATCATCAGTTATGCTTATGCTTTAATTTTGAATAACATGTAAATGAATCGATATCCATGACTGGAATACACATTTTAATAATATTTTCAAATCATGTCCGATCGTGGTAATTTTGTATAAATTTTAGTTCCGAAAATGTACGACGAGAATAATATATTATAATACAGAATTTTGATGAATATTTTTTTCCTACGTATACACATTTTAGGTTTTGGCCGAAGATAAGAAGGATTCTGTTTTGCTTATGTTTTTACTTTTGAGAAAGCTGGTCTTACAGTTAAATATATTTAAGTTTACTATAGTTTATTATTTAAAATGCTATTAAAATATGTATTGTTTATACAAGAAACAAGGTTCATAATGAGTATATAACGTGTATTAATGAATTGCATATATTATAAGTATATAATTACATTCGCGATTCGCCTGAAGTGTATACGCTTGTCGCTTATACAATGCTCATCAGCCACTCAGTATATTTACACTAAAAAACAGTTTTACTCGTAAAACAATCCTGAAAGATATATTGTCGGAGGTACAAACATAATAATATAATAAACCTAGCTTCTAAAGAGCGAAGACACACCAAATGCCCATTATAGAGATGGAAGAAAATTTGATTCACATCGCATATTATTATCAGAACAGTTATTTTTTCTTTTTATTTCTGGTTATTTTTAAATAAACACGTCACACAGTATAGGAGCATTGGCAATTGGCACCTTATTGACTGTAAACGTACAATTGTTTTTACTAATTATAATACGTACAGCAAAATTACTTTTTATTACAATTTTTTACAGATTTTTTTTGCAAAGTACGAAGACCGCCTACAAAATATCATTTATTAGAGAAGCCTAATATTTTTGTGTGACGCATAACGAAATAATTTGGCGTGTTCTAAGCACACGCTCATTGTCTGCAGTACACCCGCGAAAGTGAAATGTGAATATCGGTAATCTAGAAATGATATATGTGGCTTTAAAGTTAAAAAATTAATATGATTCGTATATTGTAGGTGGTATACCTACTTTAAAGAAAGTTTTACATTTTCGGAACATGAATAGGTAATTATACGTTATCTTTATGGAAAAAGGTTTTATTAATAAACAAACCGATAAATAATTAATTTATCAAAACAAAATTTTGTAAGACGATGTTTCTTTATAGTTTATATTATGTTTAATATAGTATAACAAATAATAATATTATATAAATGTGTTGCTATGAAGCTGTATTACGCTGTAATCAAATAGTGATGTTAATTTTACCGTAAAAGATGATGGTAAATTTTGATAAAAGGTTAAAGTTTGTTCATACATATAATGTAAATACTAGACAGTATACCTAATGTATAGTATTTATGAAAATTGCAAGCTTTAGAGTCGAGAATATTCACATGAATATTGTTCCAATAATATCTTAGTTTATACCTAAATAATAAGACAACGTACCCACTAGCGAACCAAATAATATCTAAATAATGATATTATGCTCACGAAAATAATTTAATTTAACTAGAGGTGACTCAATGTTATGAACGGTAACAAAAAAATTGTTCACTGAGAAATTACAGGTAAAATTAACGAGCTCCCATCTTTATGTATAAAATATATTAATTACCTACTATGGTCATCATTTTTTGTATGATTTAATAATAATTTTTATTTATGTATTCTTAAAATAAGATTATCTATTTGGTATTATACTCAATAGGTACTCACAATAATAATTATGGAACAATCGTAGTACTCTCTCGATGTAATGTTTCAATGTAAGAGGCTCTATTATTGTAGAGATAAAATTGTTATCTATCTCTTGTAAACGTTTAGTGTTTGAACAATTATTCAACATTCAACCAGTAATATATAATTTTGATAATGTACTTTAAAATATATCTTAGCTGCAGTTACATTTTAAAACTGTATAATACCTACTTCGTTAAAATTGCCCTGATAAAACACGATAAACATCATTGTGTATTTAAGCTTACAATATTTTCCATCTATTTGATGATTAATATTTCATAACTTACTTTTTTACTCGAATGTTTGTGATATTTATCTGGGTGCAGCATACACGTGTATCTGTCGACTGCCATGAACACTAATATCATAGCGTTCTGTTGCGGCAATGCTGCCCTTAAAAGAGCCTGAAAAAATAAAACAAAATATAATAATAATTTTTGTTTTGATTTGTTATGTAACGCGATTAATTTCTCTATAATATAGGTCATAATCGACCACAAAAATGTGATGCTAAAATAAAGAATCAGATATTTACATAATATTTTACAAGTAGTAAAAAAAAGATTATTTTTTCAAGAACGCACGTTCTCCGGAACAGCATATTATATCGCATGTTTTTTGAGCCTACCAGTGAAGGGTTAACATTTTAGTTTTAATAGTTTATAAGGGTATACTTTATTTTTGTATTCTTTTATCATTTACACCTTTTTCAAGTGCTTATATTGGCAATTTTAAAATAACGTTTCATCATAAACGTGTAAATATTTTAACATCACGCAATATTCTTTATATTTTACATTTAATAATACGTAAGAACTATCACAGTGTCGTTGATTACTATTTTTGGTCAACAACTCTGTCAAGATATTTGAATTTTCAAGTATCCAGGTATACGTATACATTTATCTTATTGAAATAAATTTGAGTATTATTATTATGTCTCACTTGATTAAAAACTATACAGGCTTTCACTCGATAGGCGGTACATTTAATTTAAAATAAAAATAATGAAGAACTATACTTAAAAAATGCTCATTAAACGACAACTTACAATAATACAAGATCGATGAGTAGGTACATCAAAAATAAAATTTTAATTAAAAATAAAATAAAGCTGTATTGAAAAAAATTGAGAAATTGGGAAAGATAAATTTATAGATTTAAAAAAGTTAAAATGCTTATACAAATACGATGGAACAATAAATTCACTTAGTCTTAAGTTTCTAAACTTTCATATAACAGATCTAAAGATTGCAATGTACAGTATACATGTATGCTCAATACTTATAGATTAGTTAAGCCGGATTTAAAATCCGGTCAAAATAGGCAAAAAAATAGTTTACCAATTAATGTTGAAAACATGATAACTTCTAATTAATAGTTTAGTCATAAAATGTTTACTTTACGTTTTTTAAAATTTGCATATGTTTAATGACTAACGAGACATTTTAAATAAAATTCATATAATATACAAGTACTTGATTACCTATTTTAACTTTTAAGTATAAGTATGTAATCTTTAGCTTTTTAATTAATATCAAAAAGAGTCATTACATAATGAAGCTGTTTATTTTGATGTTTATTATCAATTAAGAAATATGTATGCTTAGGTTAACTTAGTTCGTACGTTTAAAAGTTTAATAATATCTGCTGTTGGCTTTTACGATACTTATTACTTATACAATACCGTAGTGTAACAACTTTTAGATACGACCCAATTTTGGGCGGATTACATGATAGTCTTCGTTAAACCGATGTACCTCTCATACTATGATTTTATCATACATTATACAAACCTTGTCAATTAATGTAGAAAAAATATAGCACATGGTCTTTAAATCGTTTGAAATGAGCACGGCAGAACGACCGCGTAATTTATTATTTATCGTATATCAGTATTACCCGCGTAATAATATCATATAATTTTGAGATGAGTTTTAGAAATTGTGTTTTTGAAGACTGCTGCAGATATAGGTGCGTGCAAAAGGGACGGCTCGTCAAAATGATACATTAGAAAAGTGTTTATATATGAATTACATGTATAATATACGTCCATATATATAGGAGTGTCTACGCCCAAATATGATGAAAGTCCGGACGAGTATATAACCTAGACGCACACCGCGACCCCTCTCGCAGGACTGGACGCGGCGGTGCGGTCTCGATGAATCATGTCAAAGCTGTGAATACTCAAAAGCAATCTACTGCCCGACCGGTGCTGAATTTTAAAAGGACGGCCTACAAGAGTGATTACCCGATTAACTGCTAAACGGGAACACGCGAGGCGCCGAAATAGCGGCGGATAAGGTCGGTGTGGAAAAAAAAAATAAGAGAGAGAGAGAGAGAGAGAGAGAGAGAGAGAGAAAACCGTTCCTTTTTTTTAAACTTTCTGGAGAATCAATTGTACCTGCGTGTACACTGTATCACGGCGTTCGTTAAATAAGGTGTTCGTTTCGTCCGGACGACGCGCTGAATGTTAAACAGCTAGCCATCATTGTTGTACGTTTCGGACATGTATTTCTCACGTCGTCGTCGTCGTCGTCGTCACCGTCTCCGTCGTCGTCTCCGTCCAGGTGCTCTCTGGTCCAGGATCGACCGAGTCGGCACGCGCGCGCGGTTTTCCATTCCGATCACGGTCCGCCCGGTAAACCGATAGACTTATAAATAGCGTCCGCCTCGATTACACAATATAATCAGGGCCGGTATTTAGGGGGGGAGCAACGGGGACGTTTGACCCGGGCGGCCAAATATATTCATCTATTCGGGGGGAGGCAGGCCCCTTCACCCCCCCCCCCACACACACACACACACACACACACACACACACACACGGTAACTCGGTGTAGTATTGCATCGATAAATACTTTTTTTGTTCCCGAAAGAATTTGTACTAATACGACGAGACTCTTGTGAACTCAACAGTGCAACGATAACGGACGAGTGTGCCGGCGCCTATGGCGTAGAATAAAATTAATATTGTTTTAACATGACCACGGTTGTAGATAGACGACCACGACTTAACCACAAGGAATCACAATACACATGAACGATGTGTTGAGATATGGCCCCGAATACGATGCGTCGCGTATAGGTCCCGTCGTCGTTCTCATAACTATACTTGTACTGCGCCAGCTGCAAGTTTTTTGCCAGAAATCTGTTCAATTCGAAAACGGTAATACGTATGCACCCAGCATTTTGTCTGAATTCTGCTGCAGTGCCGCGACTGGAGTTCAAATCTCGTGGCTGCTACAGTATTACGAGTCGCTTGCATATAGGTCTATCTAGCCCCGACACATCGTCCCGATTTTCGGTTTATACTACTGCAGTTAACGATTATATATTTATATTATATTATCACTGCAGACAACGCGGTTATTCAAAAAAATAATCAAACCTTTTAAATTGTCTATCATTGCAACACTTATTTATCACATCCTTGGATTGAATGTAGTTTTCTATCCGCGGTCGCGAATGCGTTCAATATTTTTCATTTTCTCGCCAACATTATATTATTGTGTGTCATATATATATATTATTTTACAGGTACGTATATAGACGAGCGCCGACGTTTCGTTTATAAACAAGTCGTCGCTCATCGCCTCGTCGATTTCGTACACACATCATCGCTTTGTTGCGTTTGTATATAGATTGTTGCGGCCGGTCATTTTCACCTCCCCTGCAGTACAGCAGCTTCCACGATGTCGGTTCGTCATAACGAAATTATTTCGATCTTTTCGCTTCTTTTATTGAGCACCGCGGCCCGCTCAGCGCGTATTATACGACGTATAATAATAATAATAATAATAATAATAATAGTAATAATATAATATACGCCGCCGCGGCGGTCGTCCATTGGAAAACTCTGTCCGCCCACCCATCGTCGCCGAGTACCTAATGGGATCATAAGAGGATTTCGATAACGCGATCGCGATGCACCGTTCGAACGGTTTCGTCTGTACATCTCGTGGGAAATATAATACCGAAAAGTGTCTTAATAATTTCCTTGGGACTACGCGTAACGGCTCAATGCCGGGTATATTCTGGTATATAGTCATTTGGATAGCATTAGGTACCGTCTATTCGCCCCGCACAATGAGGGGTGGTGTGGATTTAGGAAAGCTGCACAGCAACGAAATAGTTTTACTTTATATTATACAAAGTATATATCATATACATAGACGGGGGCGAGCCAGGGGGAGAAGGCAAGAGATAGTTCAAACTACTCTCTTGAACCATAAGTATATATTATATATATATATTATATATAAGAATAAGATCATTCTGTTCGATATAGAGAAATGGATCTTAAAAGTAAAATAACATGTTCAATCGTTACGTTTTAAAGTAATATCACCCGCGGGTCCTATTTGACGGAACTACATTATTATATAGTGGTTTTCGGTATCAGCTAAATTTCATTATCATTGAATATACTATATCATATTAAATACGTATAACAGCTAACCAATAATCGAGGAAAACAAAAAAAGTGAAACACTCGACGTGTTGAGTTTTCTATTTATATTAAGAGTTAAAACTATTATATAATAATGTAACGCATCTAAAATTGATTGAATTCTCGATGAGCATAATTCGCGTCCTCTATTATAATACTTTTTGTGGTGTTGCACCCGGATTAAAAATATTGTATTGTGATTTTATATCTCCTATACCGATTTTATTGACAGTTTCTCATGTCGACACCTTGGGTCTCCCATTGTGAATCACCAAGAGGTAATTTGTGTAAGCACCTTATTCTATAATGTTGGTACTTATAAGTCGGGAGTTATAAATTCAACGTGAAGTATTTACCATTCTGATATGTACCCATAATAGGTATTTTAATATTTACATTTAAATATTTAATTTAGTCTACGCGATTGTTCGTCATAAGTCATAACCAGTGTTGTTCGGAATTGTTGTACCGTTACTTTCGGGAAAGTTTGACGCCCTTTTTAGTTGGCCGGTCCTGTTATTTAACGGATTGAAAATCATGCGAAATACATACTAAAAATAGTCTAAAAAAGCAACTTTTTTTTGCAAAATAAAACTTCAAAAAGTATCAAGGTTAAGGAAACAAATCGATGTTATATATTCTGATATATTTAGTGCACTTATACACTTTTTAGACATGACCATTGTTATCAAACCAGATGTCGAGGATAAACTAGTCGAGTATGTATAAAAAGTTAGAAGTATGGGACAGACATTGCCAAATATATTTCTACTAACTTTCTTCTATATTTCACTCAAGTTATTTAACTCTACTCTAGTACTCTATATTAAAGATTAGTAGTTGGTTATAAAAATATACTATTTAAGTACCTACCTATCTACTGTGTTTTTTAACAAAAAACTATAAGATACAACGAGAAAATAACACTGCAATCATTTTCTATAATTTGAATTCCGTGAAATTGTCGGCGAATTTAAAATAAAATTTAAAATAAACTAAAAAATTTGCACGATAATAATTTAATATGATACCGACAAGAATTGTATACAAAATAAAATATTTTTTCTTAATACCTACACTAGTATTGTAACTCCGTTGAATATATAGGTGATGTGTGAACAATACTAATTTATTGATTTAAAAATATACAGGTACGTTCTTAAAAGCAAAAAATGTACGCTATATTCAGTGTGAGATTTAAAATAAAATGTAAGTATTTTATTTTATATACCAATAGTCGTAAACATTATGTAAAATTAAATTATTTAGACGTATCGTGTTAGATTGAAAAACATGCGAATTATTGGCTTACTTGAATCTGACATACGATTTCCGAGTATGGCCAACAATGGACTAGAGCCGAAAAAGCAGCCAACGGTGTGACTAGCAGTCCAATTGCCAAGTCATTGCAAGCGAGCGATGTCACCAAGTACCGGGGCTGAAGATTGACGGAAACAAAGTATGTATTAGGTAACCGAATTATTTATATTTCAATGCACGTGCAACGCAAGGCGCCCACATTGTATTATTATTATATGTTGCACACCGAATATAAATCGTGTGGAAAAATGCAGGCGAATGGGAAATGTCTTACCTGCGGGTGTATGAACTTGGTATATCTGTCGCTGTTGATCGTGACTATTACCATAAGATTAGCGACGAGTATGGCCACCGTGAGCAATGAGACGAATGCACTCTCCGTAATACCCGATACGGTTATGCGAAATAATAGACCGTTGGTGTAGATACGTGGATGCCAGCAACTGCTATTGTACAAAAGTGGAGCTGTTAGCACTGTCGACCTGCCAGCCCTCATTTTCTTACATGGTTTTATTCTGAAAAAGTGTCAAGTGCTGGTAAAACGAATGTGCATGTGTAATAAACACGTCGTAAAATTATAGGGCGTAACAGAAAGAACTGACTAACGTCTGTTATGATATCAATATTTTTAATTTTTTTTTTTTATATATATACTTTATAGTCACTCGAGCCACACGCTTAATATGAAAAAATTATTATTATTTTATTTTTTAATACTGAATTGAATAAATGTTAAATTTTACTACATTTATTTCGGATAAGTTCAAAATAGCCAATTTGTGAATCTGATTATAAGAACAATTTTGATGGTAAAAACATTTATCTATGCCGAGTAGAGTTAATTTTTTTTAAATATCAACGTTTGTTTGATTAAATTCATTTGGAACGTAATAACTTTTTTCAAAATATAATTTTAGGAAATTTGCTGACATGAGTATTTTTTTTCTTTTTGGTCAGGTCTATCTGTTACACCTAGTAGTATACAATAATCAAGTCATTGTTGGTTCCCTTTTTTTACATTTTTTTTTTTTATTAGAATTTCGTTCATTAGAACGCTTTACGGCTTTTGAAACAATATTAGCAATATACAATTAAGAATCTTATGATAACACAAAAAAAAATATTTGAAATATGATCAAAACTGTTTTAAAACAAAGGTAATAATAAGTTATAAAAAAAAATAAGAAACAAGAAAAAATAAGAGAACAATAATTATGCAACATTCTGCTGTGTGCCGAATTTGTGTATCTGCATTCTGCAGTGTATGTATAAGTATATTAAGTACCTATACATTTCAATAATTTAATTGATTGTCATACCTATAAATATAGCCAATAATATACAAATGATACTTTTGAAAAATATTCATGTATAAATACCTATCAATATGTATTTTTGAAGTTAATTATACATTTTCAATGCTACTAGGTATTATCATAAAAATATGTCACAATTACTTATTATTGTATATATAATATATAAAATGCATTCGTGAATATTAAATGTATAATGGTTAAAGGTAATTGTATTTTCATAAATGCCACCGAAATCATGACCGTTTATATTTTTATGTAATAAAATATAGGTATTCTGGAATTATACAGGCCAAATTATATATACCTATAGATATTTTATTGTTATTGTATTATTATAGAAAACAACAAATAACAAAAAAAAAAATGTTTCGATTACTCGATTTCCGTGTTTTTTTGCTGTGTAACAAAAATAAATTTTAAGCAGGCATTCTTTAAATGTAGTTCTCATAGGTTCTACAACATGTTATCCTCGTCTAAAACTTTGATCATTTCCGCACATGCATACCATCCGGACTAGACAGTTTCAAGTTTTAAGCTTTTTGCTAAAGGAATATAATGCTTTTATAATTTATTTTTAATAATGTTCTGTGGCACTTGTTTATTCTTGTTTATTATTAGATGCCTTTTTATCATCATAAAATAATTATGCTGTAAAACTTCTTTAAATATTCAAGAATGCACTCTTATGCGTGATAGATGGGTTTTCAACTTTATATACTTTTTACAGAAGGCAGAATGCAGAAAGAAGAAATTATTATTATTATTTCCCTGTTTGTTATAATTCATAGTATTGATTAAATATTCATACAAATAAAATATGTTCACACCTTAATTAACTTAACTGTTTTGTTATGAATTTATTATAAACTATTTCTAGATCTATTTATATTGATTTTAAAATATATAAATTATAATTATGTGGTAATTTAAATTGAATCAAAGTATACATTTTTTTTTTACAGATATAGACATTATTATTATGAAATTACTTAGGTTTCTAGTATATTATTACAAAAATATATGAAATATTTATTATTTTAATCAATCTAATTTTGGTTATTACTTATTATTATTATAATTATAAATAAATATTTAAACAGAGATAATCAGCAGAATGAACGGAAAATAGGGATAATATCCACATACTACAGTATGCGATGGGTTAGCCACTTAAATTGGTTTGTAGTTATATATTCAACTTAAAAGTATGAATAAAGAATAATTCAAATTTCTAGTGTAATTTTTTGTTGAGCCATTTTTTTAAAATCATTATTTAATTTAGTGTGGTTTAAATTTTTAACATATGAACATAAGTATTATTTGCATCAAACTTCCTATCAAAAGCATACCATAGCTACAGAAAATATTTTAAGAATTTTTATAACCATAAAAGGTTATTTTCAAAAACATTCCAAAACCAATGTAATACGAAAATATATTTAATGTTTATGTTAATTGGTACTTAATTAAAAATTAAAAATTTGAAGATGAAGCAAAATACCTAAATTATTATCAATTTATCATATAACTTTAATATAAAAATTGTGTTTTATGAGCATTTAATAATAAATAATAATTGTATTGTTTAAAGAACCAATTTCATACAGACAACTATAATAGTAGTTCATTAAGAAAAACTAATAACAAAAAAAAGAGGAAAATAGTTAATCTTTCTGCTGTATAGTAAATATCCAGGTGTACCTCGTCTCGGAGTAAACCTACAAATATACGTTTTTAATAATTTTGAATTCAATGATGCCTATATCATTGTACACAAAAAACAATTCGAACGAAAACGGCCTATTTAGTAGGTATGTTTTATACTTTTATGATATAAAGTAATTTATTTTACTTTTAGCAATAAACTAATACGGTAGGTTGAATTCATGTTTGACTAAAACATTATTATTTTTTCGGTACATTATTTTTAAACTTTCCTTTAACTTTTGGTTCTGACATTTATAGTTAAAAGAACAAAATATTTAACACTTAAAAAAATTAGTAAAATGAAAAAAGCTTGAACATGTGAAAACGCCCATACCGAAAATAGTGAAAACAAATCCAAAAAAACTCATGGCTTCCATGCAGCAATCTACACCATGAACACCAACTAAATTTAATGAGTGGACAGTACATGGAATAAAGACAGCTAAATTATTTTTATTTTTCACATAACTTTGTAAACCTTCATACTTGCCGCTCATATTAGCAGCTTTGCCATAAGACTATCTTCAATATTAAGTCCAACATTCTTTAAGTAATCTTCTAATATAAAATATAATGATTGACCGTTATGATTATCAAATGGACATAACTCAACTAGTCGTTCGTTGACACTAGTTGGTGTACAATATCTCAGAACTATGGCCATTTGATCAGTTTTGGATAAATTAGGTGTGGTCGTGTGGATTCCATTGTGATTGAATAATGTTTGGCTTCTTTTATTTGTATTATAATAAGATTAGTGAGATCTGTATTCATTTGAGTAATCACTTCGTTGCAAATAGTTTTTGAAAGGTATGATGGATGTCCATAATTTAAATTAATCAATTTTTTGTAACAATGATGTTTAGAATTCTTAATATTTATCCGGGGACCCCATAACGTTGTGGGCCCTGGGGACGCGACCCCTCTGCCCCCCTCCCCATAGTCCGCGCCTGCTCACACCTCAAAAATAGATGGTTTTGTTTTCTATTTTTTAAATATTGTATTATAGTTTGAAAAATACTAATATCCCTACCTGACCGTTATAAATGTTTAGTAGGTTCAAGCAGCAATCGTAAGTTTAAGGTATAAACTAGAAACTAAGTGCCAACATATATTTTTTTCACTATAGTAATAAAAAGTAAAATTATCATACAGGTATTTATTTTAATTTTGTATCGTAGTAATTATTGACAGTAATATTATCATATTATATTATTGATTAGTCAAACGCTGAATAATTTTTTTTCACCAATTTAAATACTATGTGTTTTTCTACATAATACTTCAAGAATTCAAAACATACTTAATTTACACAAAAATAATAAAAATAATTACCTACTAATAATTTTCACTCTAGTCTATATAATATACTTGCGGTTCTCATGTTGTAAGTAGAATGCCAAAGTATGACAAAAAACATTAATATAATTATTTCCCTGACGTTTCAGTTTTATTTCTCGTCTATTTTGATTTCGGACCATATGTTAATGGTGATTGACATCAATTAGGAATGATGAAAAATTGAATCAATTTATTTTTGTTATTTCTTGTAAAATAACACGATAGGTACTATATAATAGTCTATATTTGTTTTGGATTAATATAAATCGAGTGCTCTCGTGCGTGATAGTGCAGTCGACGTTTTGGTAGGTAAATTTCTTCAATTATTTTGTTTCCTTTGAACTACACATTTATACTGATGTAGTCTGAAATGAGAACATATAAAACATATGCACGTGCTGCAGGACGCCGGCTATGTTTTTGTTTATTCGGATAATAATAATATAGAATAGCAGTTTGTCGCGAAAGTTTAAACATTACAATGTAATGTAAGTTTGTTTAAACCGACTCAAGTTTTTCATTTTATATCAATTTGTTTCATGAAAGATAATCAGGCTATCCTACTTTGCGAAGAAGTTTGTCAACATTTATTTCAATGACTCGTTTACAGTTTTGTTTTAGATTTATTAAAGTATACGATTAATTAACTTTCTTAATTCATAAGCAACGGTCGAACGGTTTAGTACATTACCTAACCTCTGATTTGCCGATGACATTACAGTCATAATTATATGTATAATGATAAATACAAATTTAATAAATAATAATTATTATTAAAATCTTTTAACTAATCCAATTAATGATAACTATTATTTGTCCAGCTTTATAGTTACAAATACTATGAAATATGAATAATAAATAGATTTAATTGACTATAACCAATTATAATGTATTTAAATAATCAATGATACTAGCTCTTAGATATGCCTACTTAAATATTATTCATTAAACATTTTTTAAACAATTATTAAATAAATGAGATTTTTCTAGTTTTTTTGTGAAGTTTATATTTTAGAAGATAAGACTAAACAATAAAAATTCTAAGCAACATTACGTACACGAAGAAATTAAAATAATACAAGCAAAAATGTTTTGATGAAAGTCAATTAAAATCATGAATACATTTTTTTAACAATAAATTGTAATGTAAA